CACACACACACACACACACACACACACACACACACACACACACACACGGCTGTGCCTTTCAAAAGCCTGTAGCTCCGAATAATTAGAGGTAGGTTTCACCGTTAGCCTGGCAAGTGGCTCAGCTCCCAGGGCAAACAATCGGTTGGTTCTGCCTCCGAGCAGCGGCAGTGACAGGGTGGGCGACTTTCAGTGCTGATTATTAATAGCTGACAGACAGCATCTCTTCCTGAGCCGCTGGGGGTGACTTCCCTGCACCACAGCAGGGCATCAACGGCAGAGTCGAGAACTTGCCGTTTGAAACAATTGATTTGATCTTTTATGCAGCTTTTTATTCCGTGCTGCCTTTTTCAGGATGGAGATAGATTATTATTATTATTATTATTATTATTATTATTATTATTATTATTATGTGTTCACAAAAGTGTCAGGAGGTATTCACTGTAAAAATAACTAAACAGGGCCAGGAGATGGCTCAGGGAGTAGAAGAACTTGCTGCCAAGCCCGATGCGGAAGTTCTATATCTCACCCATGGTGAAAGGAGAAAACCGGCTCCTATCAGTTGTCTTGTGAAGTCCACACAGTCCTCAGTGGAATGCTCCTTACACACATACACACACCAGATAAGTAAATAAGTGTAATTCTTTTAAGTAGCTAAACAATTTAGGCGCATATCAAGGGTTAGGCCCTGACATAAATCCTACTTCCCATGAGCAATTGCTGTTAAGAAATTCTGTCCATTCCCCCAGGCTTCCTTTGTGTATATAAAACCTATGTGACAATTTCGTATTTCCAGTGGGATTGATTGTAACCTTTTGTATTCCGTGGGATGTTTTTATTTCATTTTTGCACAGTAATGCACTAATGCTCTCTAGTGATGTGTCAGCAAAATGTGTTTGACTTTCAAATCCCCGTTCCTTATTTACCACGGGTGACCAGAGTGCACGTACAAATGTCATAGCACAGATGTTCATGGGAAGGAAGCTGAAAATCCGTCCTCTGAGCCGAATGTGGGAAATCAGAAATGACTACGCAGAGATGCCACAGGCAGTGGTATATAGTGTTTGCGTCGTGCCAAGGTCCCAGGCTGACAGGTAAGAGCTGAAACCCAGTCTGCATTGCTCCACACCCTACGCTCAGGGGCCTCTTCCTGCTGAGGACTGAAGACAGAAAGAGCCATAGCATAGAGGCCTGGAAGACGTGCCAAGGGGCTGGAGCTACCTGTTTTACGTAGTGGCGTGGTGCCATTGGAAGACTTTATGCGGAATCAGCACAAGTTCTGATTCCTATTCTTTGATGATCATTTTCATAGTATGAAAGTAGCTTCCTGTGAGCCCCGGGAGGAAGCAGCCTGCAGGAGCCAAAGGGAAAAGCAGAAGATTTCTTGGGATCTGCAGGAGTCCAACCTTCATCTGTGGGTGGCCATGCAGGTGGGAGAGCTTCAAGATTTGAGATTTCAAGGACCAGAAAGTGTTCTCGGGGTGACCAGTGATGTTACCCTGTAAGATAGGAGGGTGGGCTCAAGCCCCGGCTTTGGGGCATTTATGAAGATAAGCAGGCAACTATAGCACATGGCACTAGGGTCCAGGAAGGCCTGGCCCAGAACCATGAGCTTGAACACGTTCACACACACTGCAGAGTCGCTCCTCGGGTCCTTTAACCCAGCTGTGAGTTGTTGTCTCTTCCTTCCGTGGCACACCCCTTCTGTAGAGGGTCACACCTGGGCCTGGTGAGAACCAGCTGAAACCCACTTCACTTTAAAGTCACCCCCTTGGAAAGGCCCCAGGGCTCCCCAGGAGAGCCTGAGGCAGCCCTTGACGGCCTGAGGTTAATGAATCCCATGCAGCGTGTCTGGGAGCAAGAAGTTTGGATGAGAGCTGAGGAGAGAGTACGCCAGTAGCTTCTCTGGGGTTTAGGTTTCCAGATGAGGAATGAATACCCCAATTCCCTCTCCCAAATTCTAGAACATGGAAAGTTACAGAACTAATCCATAAGTTTTTAACTGCATGTGCAGAGAGGGGGAGAGAGAGAGAGAGAGAGAGAGAGAGAGAGACCACTGGGAACATGAATGCTTGAATGCTGTGTTCTAGTGTGTGTGCAGAGAGAGAGAGAGGGAGGAAGAAAGGGAGGGAGAGAGGGAGAGAAGGAGAGAAGGAGGGAGGGAGGGAGGGAGGGAGGGAGGGGGAGAGAGAGGAAAAAAAAAGGGCGCCCCTGGGAACATGAATGCTGTGTTCTAGTGTGTGTGCAGAGAGAGAGAGAGTTCATGAATGCATGCGTATGTAGAGGCCAGAGGCAAATCTCTTTGCTATTCTTCCTCAGGAGTCATGCACCTCATTTTTTGAGACACAGCCTCTCTCTTGTTGATCTAGATGACCAATGAGGCTGGGCTACTTGGCCAACCAGCTAGCCTCAGACATCCTCCTATCTCCCCGTCCCCCAGCACTGAGATCCAAGTGTGACCATAGGACCCAGCTTCTGTGTGGGTCCTGGGGATCAAACTCAGGTCATGACATTTATGCAGCCCCAACCATCACAACAGCTGTCTCACCAGCCCTGAACCCATAGAGTTCCTGCTCAGTCCTCTTGTACCTCTGAGGGGTCTTTGGTTAATGAATCATATTGCCTTGGGGTGGGGCCAAGGACAGTGTACCAGTGACTTCTGTGGGTTTTAGGTTCCGATCCAAGAAATAAATCAAAGTCCCCCTTCCCCCAGGGCTGGGGGGTTTCTTTATGATCCTCTGGACTCTTTGGGGCAAACTCTGGTATTCTTCAGCTAAGTGAAACACAGCAATTTAAAAATAGTATTGTGATGGCATTCTTATGTGTCACCTTGACAACATCTGGAATTAACTAAAACCCAAAGGGCTGGGCACATATGTGAGGGGTATTATTATTATATCATTTGAAGTGGGAAGGCCCACTTCTAATCCAGATCTTTGAGGTAGGAAGGTCCACCTGTGCTCAGGACCTCACCTTCTGCTGGCAGCCTAGATAAAGGGACTGGGAGACAGACATGCCTCTCTCTCTCTCTCTCTCTCTCTCTCTCTCTCTCTCTCTCTCTCTCTTTACCCTCGCTCTCACTAGCAAGTCCACTCTTTCACCAGCATTAGAGCCAGCATCTTCAGGATTCTGGCGAATACTGAAGACCAGCTGAAACATTCAACCTTGTAGACTGAACAACTACTGGATTCTTGAACCTTCTGTTGGCAGACAGTCACTGCTGGACTAGCTAGAACACAGTCTGTAAGTCATTCTAGCAAATCTCCTTGTGTGTGTGTGTGTGTGTGTGTGTGTGTGTGTGTGTGTGTGTGCAGATATAAATACACAGTCATCTATAAGTTCTGTTCCCCTAGAGAAGCCATTCTAGTAAATCCCCTTTATATGTGTGTGTGTGTGTGATGTGTATGTGTGTATAGATATACATACACATTCATCTATAAGTTCTGTTCTGCTACAGAACCCTGACTACTACAACCGTGTACTGGCGGAACTAGAGCCTGTTTCTGCACATGGCCACCAGCTCTCATTCTGGGGAAAGAATCAGTCAGGTATTCCTAACCCGACCTGTTGAAGTTCCTTATCAACAAAGAACAAAGGGCATCCCTTTACTACTCACTACCCTGTCCCCATAGACAGGAGGCCTCTGGACATTACAGCTCCCCCCCCGTGCAAAGTCACAAGAGCCAGGTTCTGCTAGCAGCCCACCCAACCCTTCCCTACCAGTCCCTGCCTCTTCCCCAGGAAGTGATTCAAAATTGACCACAGTCCTAGGATCCCTTTTGCTGCCATTAACACGTATAAGGAAGTGGCATTGTTCATGGCTCAACAGTTTACACTTAACACAAAAGGAGTCACACATATGGAAGATGGACAGCCACGGAACCTGTGAATACATGCACCTGTGTGTGTCCATGAACTCATTCCCCAAGCAATTTAACTAATGGGCGGCACCACCCTCCCCCAGCTGTCCTTAAGAGCTGGGCGACTCCCTCCCTCCCCCATCACAGTCACCGCCCACCTGCTCTGGATCCCTGGGAATCATTTGCATTTTCTAGAATTATGTGTGGTTCGACTGCACATCTGTGCTTTAGGGACTGACTCCATTCACCCAGCTTAGTCATCTTCAGATTCAGTTATGTCGTCGCAAGCATAACGTGTTTGTATTGGCTGTCCAGTTTTTTGTTCCTTTTGGTTTTTGAGACGGGGTTTTTCTGTGCAGCCCTGGCTGTCCTGGAACTCACCTGTAGACCAGGCTGGCCTTGAACTCAGAGATCCACCTGCCTCTGCCTCTAGAGTGCTGGGATTAAAGGTGTTTGCTACTACTGCCCAGTTGGCTATCCAATTTTTTAAATGTCATACAATTAAAAACTGAAGAATTATTTCTAGAACTTTCCATGCAGTATTTTTGGATTTAATTAGCTGTCGGGAACTGAAATTCCAGGAGATGAAAGCATGGAAAAGGAGAGAGTGCTGTATATTTGTATAAGTGTGAAAGTGTTCCCTTTCCTCTCTCTGCTAGGAAGGGCAAAAGTTATTCAAGGGAGACAACATTAACACCATATTAACCCAAAGACAGTGCCATAGGGATCCGCAGAATAAACCTTACTCACACCTTTCACCCTTTCTCGTGTCTCCCAGGTATTTTTCTGCTCCACAATTTGGCACCCTAGAAACTTAAACTCCTCTTCCTTTGTTCTTTCTCCCCTGCTCCCAGGTCCTGGTCATCCCTCACTGCTTCCACACATGAGCATGATGCTCATATTCGTTTGTCCTCCCCCCACCCGTGGATTTTCCTCTTGTCAGGATAATATAGGGCCAGCTGGAGGGCTGACTCCTCTTTGGAGTCAAGGTAATTTAATTGGTAGTGGAAACTGTTTTTAATAAATGGCATGGCATGCTGAAATCGCACAGCATCCACCCTCTCCCCGTGGGAACATGAATGTTGGGTTCTAGTCTGTCTGCCCTATATATGTCACCTACACATGCACTTGGTGTCTCGCCATCTTGGTTATCAGAGGGACTGTGCTGTGACCACTCATCAGAAGATATTTTCTCATGAAAACCTACAAGATGACTCGGTGCGTGAAAATACTTGCCGTACAAGCTTGCAGCCTGAGCTCGATTCCCAGAATCCAGGGTGGAAGGAGACCCTGACTTCCACAAGTCACACACACACACACACACACACAGAGAGAGAGACAGAGACAGAGACAGAGACAGAGACAGAGAGGATAATAATATCTTTTTGAATAAGAGATTGTCTGTTGAGTTCCGGTTGGTTCCTCAGAGATGACTGTCATAGAAGCAAGAGCCTGGTCCCTGTGGTCTCCCTCTCTCTTTGGCTTCTTGTTCGGAAATATATGTTCTTCTTTCACATGTGGTCCCTTCATCGAGAATCACCACGATGTGACATGGCCAAATGTCCTCACTGGAGATGAGTCAGTACAAGTGCTATGTCCTTGGAACTCCAAAACGATGAGCAAAATGAAACTTTTCTTGATCGAGTTACGCTGTCTTGGGTGTTATGTTATAGAGGTGAAAAGCTGACTGGTATAGCCTATGCTTTGACACCTATGCTAAAAAAATTTCCCTGACCACGTCCGTGAGGGTTTGCTTCTAGACTCTTCTGAGTGCTGCAGATCCGTCTTGGTTAGGGTTTCTAGTGCCTCAATGAAACACCATGACCAAAAAGTAAGTTGGGGAGTGTGGTGGTTTGAATAAAAATGGTCCCCATAGGGAGTGGCACTTTTAGGAAGTATGTCACTTGTTAGAGTAGATGTAGTCTTGTTGGAGGAAGTAGTCAAAGTATGGCAGGCTTTGAAGTCTCAGATGCTCAAGCCATGCCCAGTATGGCAGTCACTCTTGCTGCCTGCAGATCCAGCTGTAGAACCCTCAGCTCTTTCTCCAGCACTATGTATATATGCACACTGCCATGCTTACCACTATAATGATAATGGACTAAACCTCTGAAACTGAAAGGCAGCCCCAATTAAATGTTTTCCTTGAAAATGGTTTATCTTCACAGCAATAGAAACCATAACTAAGACAAGAAGGAAATGGTTTATTTGGCATATACTTCCCAAGTCACTGTTCA